AATAAGCTTTATTAAAATTAAAACTGAAAATTATCTCAATTGATATAATTTATTTACAGCAATTAATAAATTTATCTTATTACTTTTCATGTAAGAAGTATTCTTACATTTTGATAATAACTTGCAAAATATTTCAAGTTATATTTTGTATTGATTTTTGAACTTAAAAGATAAATTGCTTATAATAAATTATTTATTATTAACTTAAAATTTTTTAAAAAACTTATTGTTTTGTATTATAACTTTTAAAATTATAAAATAAACTTAATAAAATTAATGATATTATTCTAATTTATTATAATACAAATATATATTATTTATCTTTAGTTATAGTTTTTAATTTTTACATTATAAAACTTAGTTTTTTTTCATCTTTTAATTAATGAAAATATATGAATAACACATAAAGAACTTAAAACTTATAAAAATAGTAATAATATATATATTTTAGTTTTAGATAATAAACAAGAAATTTGTTATTTGTTTTATTTTTTTTAAATTAATTTTATTGACTAGTTTTATTAACTAAAATAGCTAGTATTATTTTATTTTAATTATAAATTTATTGCATTATTTTATAAACTCTTATTTAATTACAAAGTTATAATTCTTGTATTTGATCTTTTATCTTAAGGATAGAGTATATAATATTATCAAGTTATAAAGTTTTTATTTAAAAATCAATCAAATTACTCAATTTTTAACAATCAAGCAATTTGATTGGTTCTTGAATAAAAACTTTTAATTTGATAATGTTATATACTTTACCTTTAATTATAAAGTTATCATTATATATTAAATTAATAAACAAATAATTAATATTTTAATCATATTTAAAAATATAAAATATATTTATTTTTGAAATATTATTTTAGCTAATTACAAAATAAATATATTATCTATTTTTAAATATAGTATTCTTTTTTTCACTTGAAGTTATTTTATATATAATTTCTCTATCTAACTTAATTTTATATATTATTTATATGTTTTTTTCATAATCAAACTTAAAATCATATAAAATGATAACAATATTAATTAATTTGTAGCTTTAATTATGATTTATAATTTTACTTAGAATCTTAAATATTTACTTGAATTCAAACCAGATTTTTAATTAGATTTGAATCAAATTTGAAGTTCAAACCAAACTTGAACCAGATTTTATTAATATTATATATATGTACGTATTTTATAAAAGTATAAATTTTATTGATGTGACTAAGTTATATGTATATAAAATAAATAGCTTTAATTAGTTAAATTAATTATTATGTCATAAATCATACATATCTGATTGGTTAAATCATTATTATATTATAAGATCAAAATTGGCGCTATGGCATCAAATCGAAATTTGTTCAACATTAGCTCGTCACACATGCCGATATTCTTCTAAATAGGATACGGGTTTAGGCGCGAGTTAAAAAAATTGATAGAATACATGTACATAGAATACAAAAAAAAGGATTTTGTAAGTTTTTATTTATTCATAGTGTATATAATCTCCATTACAAAAGAGCCCATCTTTAAAAGATTCCCAATTTATAATATATTGCTAAAAATAAGACCCTCTTCCTCACAGAGTACCCCCGGGGTGGGGTGCAAGATATCCTCCACTTTCTATTTGTATAATAAGAGTATTTTATAAACATTGATTATAAAGAAAATGTTTAATAGCAAACATTAATAAACGATATGTGAACATTAAACCAAAAAACACAATACCAAAAATTACTAAAAGACAAAAGTGCCAAAGTAAAGTGATACAAAGAATCCAAACACAACTGGCAAAAAGTTAGCGGTAAAGGCATTATTCGCGGAACTAGAAGTAGAGGTTGATGCTCCAGTCTGACTAGCTCCAGATGTCTTCGAAGTAACGCCTGAAGTGGAAGTGGGAGTGGAAGTGGTGGTGGTGCTCTCTGCTGAACGGTTACTGACAACACTCACACCATCGAACTCGAGCCCGATTCCAACTTGAAGAGACTTGTTTTGTGGATTTGTGACTACTAAACAGTAGACTCCAGGAGGACTGACGCGCTCACTATGCGCGCACTTAGAAACTGGCTTAGAGTACTCGATACATGAAGCGTCTTGTACGGCATCCAAATCTCCATTGTAATTTGGATCCAAGTAATTTTTCGTGACGTTTTCTAATGCGAGAACGGTCAAGAATCCATTGGGAGCATTGGGATACTTATCAGTTATTAGATAACCGAAACCGGTTACTATTGCTCCTATACCAGTTGTGTTTTTTTGCTTTCCATCAAGTAAATCCACTTGATATCCTATTATTTATAACAGACATTTAGAAGAGGATTTGGCGAAATAAGCAATAATAACTAGACTTTTGTCACCTCTATTTTATTTGAACTTACCAACGTTCGTCACATTACTAGATTCGCTGCATTTTTTCCAATTTAACGTGGATGGGATGGTGACGACGATATCTTGGGCTGCAATATTAGCGTTCTAACAAGAGAGTAATTTAAGTTTATTTTTTTCGACATTTAATAAATTATTTGTTGGTTGACAAAAAATACCTGTACAACAAAAAGCGCAAAGAACAAGGCAACTGCTTTAACAATATACATCTTTTTTGTATTGCTGATATAGTTTTCGTAATAAATTTTATTAATCGAGACGAAGACTTTTTTCTGGTTTGACGTGAAACGTATCAACTTAAGCCAACTATTTATATTTAATAAAATGAAAACAAAAGCAATATTTATTTCTCATCCTAATTTGGTTATTATAATGGTTTAAGCCACTATCATGCCGTGTATCGGTATAGAGTAATCTAATTCAAAATAAATGTACACTCGGTGGACAAAAGTTTACAATCAGCAATGATCTACATTTGTAGATCACGAAAATTAGAGTAACTTCAACACTTCAAATTATATTAAAATATACATGTATATAGTAAAAACAGGGCTATTTATATATAGATTTTAATAACGGGTTGGATATCTCTTTGCTTCGATTACAGCTTGTACTCTTCGCGACATACTTTCAACTAAATTTTTTAGGACTTCAGGCTCAATATTTTTCCACTCCTTTACGAGAACATTTATTAAATTCACTTTGTTTCTGAACAGATTTTGTCATTTACGAACTCATCTTTTTAAAACATCCCACAAATGTTCAATTGAGTTTAGATCAGGACTTTGTGCAGGTCATAGAAGTGAAGATATTAAATTTTCTTCTTTTCATCCATTTACTTTATATCAATTAATGATGCATAATTAAAAACATTTCATGAATGACAAACTTAAAATATTAAGAGAAAAAAGAGGTATCTAAGCTCTATATCAATTCTATGAAAATTGTATTTACTTAAAAAGAAATAATAATATGGGAGAGTTGTAAGAGAGTAAATATCAAAGGGAAGAGAGGGTATAAGAAAATAATAAAGGTAATTTGAAAGGATGATTCTGTACTTGCATAAAGCTTTCTAGAACTAAAATAATATAATTAATAATAAAAATAACAAAGACTCTTTCACTTTGTTCTTCTTACAAGTGAGAAATATTCATTAACAATTAAATAATAAAAAGTAAAATACTTATAATCCAATTTCAATAATTTCTAATATAGTGATTTGTTTAGCACAATATGATATAAAGCTTAATAATTCAATAATAGTAATTTGTTTAGTACAATACAATTTAAAGTTCAAAGTCAATAATAGCAATTTGCTTAATGTAATACAATATAAAGCTATCAGTGATTTGATAGATTTAATATGATATAAGATCACTTATATATAAGATTTGAAGTATATAAAGAAAATATGAGAGATGAAAAGTATTTGAAAGAAGGTTTTTGTTAAGAGAAATTTTTATTTTCAGTTACAATATGTCAAGTTAAGATTCAGACAGTACCTCTATTTATATATTTTTCAAAATTACAAAAAGTAAAATAAGTTCAGTTAAATCTCTCTATAGTTACCAGTGGTAACTATAGAGAGATTTGACTATAATTATAAAAATATATAAAAAGTAAAATAATTAATTATAAAGTAAAATAATATATATAAAGTAAAATATTGTAAAAGTAAAATAATAAGGTGAAAAATAAAAAGTGAAATAATAAAAAGTGAAATAATATATAAAAGTAAAAATAAAAAGTGAAATATCATAAAAATGAAATAATAAAAAATAATATGTATTCAAATTAATAATAGGATCTATATTTCATATCTAATCTAATTAGTACAATATTAAGAAGTATTAAATATAGATCTGTGTTAATTTCTAACATGTTATGCAAGAAATGATAAACATAACACAAAAAAGAATAAACATGATACAAGAAATTACAAGGGTATGTGAAAATTATTACACAAAATTTTATTACTAAAATCTAAGAAACTTATTGACTTTAATCTAAAATACATAATATATTTATATAATTTAATTATTATATAGTACAGTCAAATCCCTCTATAGTTACCACTCTTGGAAAAGCAAAATTTGGTGACTATAGAGAGAATATAACTATAAAGGAATTTTTTTACTATGTTTATATGTAAATGGAAAAGCAAAATAGAATGACTATAGAGAGGTATAACTATAAACAGATGTGACTATAGAGGTTTGATTGTATTACTAATTTTATTATTGATAGTATTAATTTTATAGATTACAATTATTATTGTTATTAATTCAATTAAACACAAGTATTTGTTAGTATTATTAGTATTTATCAATATTTATTAGTATTTATTAGTATTAATATGAGTATTAATATTATTATTATTATTAATACAAGTATTAATAATACAAGTTTCAAGAATCAATAATTATTTAAAATATAATTATTTAATAAAATAATAACTAATTATAAATAACTATTTAATAATAATATTAATATTAATAAATATTATTTAATAAAATATATAAATATTATTATTTAATCAAATTATTTATTCAAGTTTATATTATAATAATATTATATTTATAAATAAACTATAAAATTTAAATATTTAATAAAAATATAAATTAAATTAAATTTTAAATAAAAATTTAAATAAAAATTTAAATAAAATTTTAAACTAAAATTCAAATAAAAATTTAAATAAAATTTAAAATATATTTATTTAATAAAATAATATAAAAATATTAATTATAATAATATTGAAAATAAATATTTAAAAATTTATATAAATTTAGTTTAATTATAGAATCAAACTTTGATTTAAGTTCAAAAAAATTTAAAATTTGAACTAAACTTGAATTAAATCATTATATAAGTTCAATTTGAATTAATATACTATTACTGTTAGTAGCCTTTATGGATGAAGATCTTTACTAGAACAGTAAACAGTGACTGCATCATGTGAAAAAGCGTGGAGGAATAAGCAAGTGTAAAATAATCTTTTAATATTATTATTTATTAGCTAAATCGCTAAAAGATTCACAAAGAATCTTACAAGTTCACAAAGAACCTTTAAAAATAAAGTGTATTTTTATAAGAATAAAATAAGTTCATCAAGAACTAAATGAATTCACTAAGAATTCAAAGTATTTATAAAGAGTTTTTAAGAAAGATAGAACACAAAGTTCTTTAATAATTTAACGAATACTTCACCAAGAAGTAATTTAGATTCACCAAGAATCTGTTTTATTAATCA